TTTTCCCACCTTAAGGCTTGTTTGAAAGAGCACTGTCATACCCCCACTTTAAGGAAGCATCAGCTGCAAGGAGAGAGAATGTATTTCATTAGACTGACAGATACAGCTGGAAAAGAAGACAGATTGCTCAGCTGAAAGGAGCCAGCCACAGAAACCCCCTGCTCAGTGTTGGACCAATGCACTGCACAGCAGAAACACCTCTTTGACTGCAAATTAAGTGATAACCATACAACATCTGGTCAACCACCATGTTGGTAGGAGGCAAGAGGCATGCTGTATCCAGTGAAAGACAGTTCAACTCACTGTACAAACAAACAAAAAAAAAAAAAGAAACAACCAAGAAACTCCACTCTTGCCAAAACCTGCACAAGACACACATCATGTTACAGCCAGCACAGCCTTCCCACAAAATGCAACAGGAAACACAAAATGCTTGTAAAGTACCTATTCATGTGACAGTGGAGCTGCACCTAAAATTCAGTGCAACATTAAAATGACTGGAAATCAGTGATTTGATAGTGTGAGCTGCAAAGAGATCCCTTCATGGCCTCCGAAGTACTGCATCCTAGCAAGCTCAAGAGCCGGAGAGCTTCATTTCATGCAGCAGTCATTGAGCACAGAAAAGATTACTACAGCTGGCTGAACACAAATCATCTTGTACATCAATTTACACCCACAGGAGAATGTATAGGTTATTAATTTACTGGTATGAATTTTACCAGTCCCAAAGGTTTCTTAGGTGGTATTGGGTTTTTTGGGGGGGTTTGTTTGTTGTCTGTTTTTTTGTTTTTTTTTTGGTTTGTTTTTTTTTTTTAGTGGGAGTGGGTTTGGTTGTTTTTTTTTTTTAAGAGCATAGGGAAAGGAAGCTACTCAAAGTGGTGTGAGAATGAATGACACAGAGCAACCTCTGGTTTCAACTCTGCAACCTCTGCCTCCCCAGATGTGCAAGTACACAGCTCTTTTTCACCCAGCCACCACCTCAACTAGGCAAAGCAAAGCAAGGCAAAAACGAAGCCTTTCAGGCAGGCAAGCCATCTGCTATACACCTCTGCTGCATAAGATATCAAAATGGCAGTAACAATGTTCCTCTTCTGATGAGAGCTATCGGCTGCTCCTGGTTTCAACTTTGCTAGCCTAAGATATAAACTCAGGCCCTGGAAGAAGAGGTAGGTAACATATTCAGCAGCCCTCAGAAGCTGAGATGCTCTTAGTTACAGCTCTTGCTCTAGCTGCTTCTGAGATGTTATTTCCCATAGATGTAAAAGGCATCTGAAACAGTCACAGGAAGTTAAGGTTCAAAAGAATGAGCAATAACTCCATATCATTGCCATTTCAGTGTTAGCTGCTTCCAGTGATACCACCTCCAGCCCTCCCCACTCCCAAAAATCCAACAAAAAAAAAACCAACCCTCGATCATCTGGGTACTTCATCATGTACTGAAGCAAACTGTTACTCCCTCACAAAAATCACAGAGAATTCATTAATCTATTCCCTCACCCGCCTACCATTTCTCACACTAAATGGAGAATATTTGTGAACTTAAGCAATCGTGTTTCTAAGGCAGAGAGTGAAAATCTGCTATTAGAATAGTCCATCACCACAGGCTTTCCTTCCTTCCTCCTACCCGCCCACCCACAAGCTTCAAGTGAAACAGTTGTAGCTCACTGGGAACAGAGAAAAGCACCTCACATGCAGCAAAATCGAGCTCAATTCTGTGGAAGTTCCTTCTTGGGCCAGGTGCACATGGATGAAAACCACTTGGTACATATATGTTTGCACCCGAGCCAATCTTACTCTGTTACTGGGACAAACTGAACCATCCTGATTAGAGAAACATCAACGAAATTTGTTAAAAGACTATTTCAGAAGTTAAGAGGTCTGAGAGTCAAATCACACTAAAATTCTCCAGAAGAGAAAACAATGACCTGCCTCTAGGTGAGGTCACCCAGCTGCAATTCTGTGGAAAGAAGTGGATGCTGTTGAAGGAATTAGCAATTAAGAAAGCAAGACACTTGCATGTATTCAGTTATGGAAATGTTATTTTAACCTCTTCAAAGTGTCCCCTCTGTGCTCAGACCATTATTTATTCCCCTACAGCTCTGAAAGACTTGCAGCTCTCTAGATTGCCCTTCCTGCAGATGAGGAGGGATGGGAAGTAAAGCACTGCAGCCACCAATGCCATACTGCTGTAGGTTGTATGAAAAGGACAGACATGCCATGCTAACTTGAAGATACAGGTTTTACATCCTCTTCACCAAAGCAGACAACTAATTACCTTGACTTGCCTTACTTACATGTGCTACATCTTGGCAACATTCTCATCTCCTAAAAAGCATGACACCCAATATTCAAGTCTCAGGATCTGGACAAAGCAAATCTTTCTTCTGCTATCTTGCTAATAACACAAACCCCCTGTACAATAAACCTAACCTGATTTATTTCACAATATATCTAAAGTCCCAGAAAGAAAGTTAGAGGACATTGCACTCACAACAGGAAAACTTGCCCACCTAATTTTCCAAATGAACTGAGACTCCAGATCCAGCCAACTATTAGTCATTTGGCTAGCAAGCAAGACTGAACTTACATTAATGAACACCAGACTGCATTAAAATGTAGTTTAAGTTTAGCAATATGCCAGAATAATCTAAGGAAGGAGGGAATGGACAGGATTGAAACTTCAGACTGTTATTTCTTGCTTAACACCGCTAAATTAAAAAACAATACTGCAGGATAGTTTGAGACAAACCCTAATGTCCTTGAAGGTAGGATGTGTTAGACCCATCAGCCCAGTGCTGCCAGGCATATCACTAATCCTGCAGGACTGGGGAGGACAGGGACAAGACACTTTCCTCAGCAGAGGCAGAATTTACATCACCTCCTCCTCTGCTCTTGACTTCCTATTCCCTCATGCCCAAACCATCTTCTTACGTAAATGGGACTGGTACCAACTTTGAATTTATTATAGCGAGGAAGCCTGTCAGAGCTACTAAAGCTACTTGCTTCTGTCATTAAGAATGACCATGCAGTAAATAGGAACACATTTACAGTATTTCATTTTAAGCATCGTATCCTAGATTATTTGCAAGGTCGCAGATGACTCCAGTAAGCTTGGCCAAAGTCCAAATCATACCAGCCTTCGGTAGAAAGCTAAAAAAAAATACAAAGGATCCAATATGTGAAACTAGCCACACACCATGGAAGAACAATTTTTCCATTCTTGAACCTCACCTCAGCAATGCTTCTTGAAGTTCTTCTGCAATAATCAGTGTGAAAATAGTATATAAAGCTCTTGGACAAAAGAAGTTTTCCTTCCAGGTGCTTTGTATAACGTAAACTTTTGACAAATTTATTACACAGTTGCACTTACCACAAGGAAGAGGAAGGAAAACTGGTACCGCACAGCTGAGAGAGACTCCTTCTTCTGTATGAATGACCTGCGATTTAGGTACATTTTGTGTACGAGATGTAGAAATTTCACCTTCATGGCAACTCAGAAAATATTCATGAAGCTCACTTGCCACATTACTTAAACTGGATTAATACCCTTTTCCTTTTAAATGCACTAGGCAGGGAAACCATCCAAAAGAAAAACAAAAAAATCGCATTACTTGTACATTCAAAAATAACAGCTGTCTTTTGGTTTGGTAGCACATTTCTCATAAACATCCCTATGGTTATTCTTCTATCAAAAAGGCAGCTACAAGCACCTAACCTTCAAACTATTTAACGGAATTAAGCATGAATTTTAAAATATAATAAAAATCAAGTATCTTTCCCTTGTAACTTCCCTTCCCAGAAATCAGCCTTAAGTACTAACTTGTTACTCCTTCAATGCAGACAACTATCATTGCATGCATATGTAGACAACAGCTCCTTCCAACCTTCTTCCCAACTCCTTCATAGTAACTTAAGCATTTAATACATATTCCTTTAAAGAAATTTGAGTGAATTTATTGTATAAAATTATGATTGGCATGGTACAGAAAAATTCCTTTTAATGCACATTTCCCATTAACTTGTACACAAATATTACAAGTATCAAGCAAAATGCAAAAGTCTTAAGAACTAATTCCATACTACAAAAGTGTTCACATAGTGAAGTTACTCTGGTTACAAAATGTGATGGAAATAAAAGCACTTCAAAATACATAATTGGGAAATGTTCTCAAATAATCAACACAACCTTAAGTTAGTTAAAAAATGCAAAGAAAGAGATACCCTCTTCGAAATACTGTTGATTTGGCAAGACGGAGCAAAGTTCAGATCAGTTCATTTACTGAAGGATTGTTCTTTCCAAGAAACAAACAAACAAAAAAGAAAAAAACAACCAACCTTCCAACCTTTAGTTAAGAAAGGGCTCAATTCTATTATGATGACAAATAACGTCATCAAAGAGTTATCTGGCTCTCGTTTTCACACAGGAGCTGTCAGCGGCAGAGATGTGTAAATCAACACCTCCAGGTATACACAGATTTCCTTTTCAAAAACAAACCAAACAAAAATACCAAACCCCAAAACAGCAAAAAGGAGACAATCTGAACTTTGTTGTTTCATTTAAATAGTTCAGTTCTTTAGGTCTCAAGGCCCAAGAACAGCAGTCTGCAAAGGATACATACTTAAAGAATAAAACTGAACTTCCACTACCAGGGAAGGCGCAGATGCCAAGTTATGTGAGTACCGTACGTCCTCACAGTAAGACTGCTAGAGGCTATCAAATCTCTGCTTCCCAACAGCTTTGATGGCTTGCTATTCTCAACACAACGAAAATTGCTTGGACCCTATAAACAGCCTTACAAAAAGAAGGCAAAATCATTGCATTCAAGATTTGAAGACTGAAAGAATCCTTACAAACACGCAAAATAGGCAATACATCACTTCTTGTATCAGGTGACTCGTGTGTGTTTGAGCAATTAAACCTTGGTATGTATATCTACATGAAACTCACACATACAGAATATCAGGCGTTATTGTTGTTTTCCTTTTACACACACACACACACACACACACAAAAATTACTATCGGCTTAACCAGTCTACTCAAACTCAGTGAAAAACAGTCCACAGCACACATAAAAGAAGCATTATCCAATACAGTGTTATCTTGCAAAAAAGGAGTCAGAATTCCTGAGTCTCAGAGACACTACTGTCCTCCTCCATTACTGGATTATTTATTTTTCCAAGGAGAACCTCTAGTTTTCATTTCTTCATGCTGATGAAATTTATAATAGATTGCATCCTTTAAAAAAAATTAAAACTTTTAGAAAAAAACATGCCAACCAAAGTGAATTTTTAAAGCTTGGGGGGGGGAGGGGGAGGGGGGAATGACGAAGGATTCACTTACAAAGGAGAAGGGGGATTCACTTACAAAATAAAGGCCACCTACATGTAAAATAAGTACTGCCAGTATCCCATCATTCTGTTTAAAGGAGGGATTTAGCTTCCTGTTCTGGAAGCACTATTACGAGCAGTCATTAGAGTTGAAAAACTCCCTCTGTTTAACAATTAAAAATACTACAAACAGGACTAACATGGAACAGCCCTTTGTTACAATCACCAAAGTGGCAAAACCAATGCAACAGTTAGGTCATGAAGTCTCCTTCAGTTAGTCACTGCAATCTATTATAACTTCTATATTTTCCCTTTTACTTTGCATATTACACAGTGTAACTTAAAATGTTATTTAAGAGCACTTCAGTCCCACAATGTAGGATTTAAGCTTGTATGAATATGTATGCATGGTTCTGCGACATTTTTAATGATTTACAAAAATACATTCAATCAAAACTTTGTATAGGGATTTTGCTTTGTTTTGGGGTTTTTTTGACCCCAAAATGAAGGAAAAGCCAAATGGTCCCATCATTAGCTAAATAATACACTCCAAGTTCTGGAAGCAATTCCAATGCAAAAGCATATTCAAGAATAACATACACTGAATTGCATACTTTCTCATTCATCTTTATCAGTAATAAAATTCTACTGCATATAATTATTCAGGCTTATAAATAATGCTAAGCAGAAAAATATTTACCTCTGTGCTACTTTTCTCAGTTTATAGAAGCATTTTTCAGTTTACAGGAGCAAAGGAAAAAAAACCCTAAAGTGCAGACTACAGGCCATGACAGGCATAGTAAATGACCAAAGGTGCAGCCAAATTTGCATTTACATCTTAAGTTACTTCACCATCTTTCTTTCCTTGCTAGAAGTCACCCCATGTGCAACTGAAGAGCTGGTCGGTTGGTTTGTGCCACAGTACAACCTGTAACCACTGGTAAATTCTTCTGTTTTGTTGGTTTTTTTAAACTAGTTGAATTGTCCATAGGTATTTCTAGGCAATAGCTTAGGTACACAAAACCTTACTCTATTAATACTTGAAATCACACAATATTGACACCTCCTCCAGAGAATGCTACTGTCCTTTTGTTGCAGTATGTGGTTGAACCACTGATGCTTGGTTGACTGTCTTTAGCAAGAGAGGTCTTCATTTCTATTTCACACGCTACAATAGCTGCATTCAGTTCCACTTGAGCTCGGTGAACGACATAAAACATGAGTCCTATGCTTATGATAATCTGTAAAAAAAACAAAGAGTGTTGTAGACTACATAAACTGTAAGCATGAATACAAACCAACTGTTCGGAACAAACTAAAAAGTCACTGATGCGAAGATGCATGGAGGCACCTGTTGACTACATGTCAAGACATCAGATAGGAGATGAACTTGACCAGTGAGTGGCTCTAAACCTACACGCTAACAACATAACAGCATATCAGAACATAGACATTACACGGACCTTAAATACTGATATAAATTGAAAATATGTTTTCTTTCTTTCCATTGACATCCAAGTACTTATTAAAAACCAATCCCTTCACTTTCTCTCTTGGCAAAAATACCTCCACAAAGAAACAACACAGTGTATTTCTGTCAGTCAAAAGGGCTCTTTTCCCATGTACCAAGTGAATAATAGATCAAAATTGTACGGGGCGTCATTTGCAAAATAGCAGAGAGGGGATGATGCAGATGAAAAGAAATAAAGCTTCTTGTCCTTGCCCCTCTGGTGTGGAAGAGGGCAGAGAGCAGCATTATCACTGTGCTTCTCAGCTATCACCACTAAACAGGACTGAGCAACTTACAGTGGTCTGTATGGGAAGAACTTGGTTTCTAGACAATGGTGCAGGGGACAGAATGTTGGTGGTGTGGGTTTTGTTTGTTTTAAGCAGGAAATACTGTCCAAAACTAGGGTTTAGTTCAGGGTTTTGCTCTTTATTTTACTACTAAGAATTTTAAACTTCCACCACAATTATTATCAGGAATAAACCAGGACAATTTTTGCTTAGAAATTACTCATTCAATGACAACAGCATGCACTGCGCTCCCCAGAGGAAGCCTCTGGTTTCAATAAAACATCAGTTAAGTTCTACAAATGAGATCCTCCTTAAGAAAAATAATAGTCTTCAAATAAAAATCAAGCTGTCTCATAGTGAGAGTGCCCTTGAAAGAATTGCTTTGCCTTTTTAAAGAATATTTTATGAAACTAGTCTTCAACTTTACAAAAAAAGAAACAAAACCAACAAACAAAACCCCCAAAAACACTGAACAAAGGTTGTACTGTTTACAACAGAACCTAAAGTTTTGAGTCAAACATCTGAACTTCATTATTAATTGGTAAGGCTATGTTTTCTTTGAGGACTATCACTTAAAACATCTGCTGGCATGGCATAAAAGATGTTAGAATATCCCCAAGTAAGATGATTCACAAGTACAGTCAGAGGAGAATTGTGGCAGTCTCTAGCCCAACCTGCTGCTCAGAGCAGGGCTGGCTGGACGATCAGACCAGGTTGCTCAGCACTTTTGTCTAGTCAGGTGCTGAAAACTTCCAAGGATAAAGGTTTCACTACCTCTCCTATCCCTGTGGTGAAAAAAAAGATGTTTCTCACTAATTCAAATTATACAGTTCAAAAGCTGGCCAATGTAAGAATCAAAAGGAGACTATGGAGACAAAATTCTGAATACATAGTAAAAATCCTATTCTAAAAGCTTATCCAAATATTTACATCTTACTGGTTTTAGAAATACTACTACCAGTAGCCTAGTTCCCTAGATGAATAATGATGACACAATGGCTATGTTCTGATATGCTAGCTTTGTTGTTAGCATATCTAGTCTACTAGTCTGGAAATAACATTTCACAACAAAAACAAAAGATTACCAAGTAACCATTTATTTTCTCCTTGATCTATTCACCCCACATTTAAAAAGGCATTTTAATACTCACAACCCTGTTCTATGAAGCCTATAAATTAAATCTTCCATTTAAGAACACAAAAGTTGGGAAGGAAGGAGTATTAAAATGGTCCTCCTAGACTTAGTTTTACAACTTGGCATTGTTAAACATCAGCTTTACAATTGTAAAAACAGAGGAAGATAAATGACTGCAGTACCAAAGTCTGCAAACACAGTAACTGCCAGCCAAACACAGCCTGAAGTACTGACACTGTGAGAGGTGGTTTTAGTATATAATCTGGTTCTGAAATACTCATGACCTCGATGCTTGTAATAGTCTCAGACTTAACGCTTACCCCAAAGATTTACTGACAAATTATTTTATCAGCTAAGCTTACATAAAGGTACTATATACTTCTCATGAATTTACTCACTTGAAAAATTAGGATATTCTGATGCTGGCTTTAGCAAAATATTATTTCTACAACACTTTCCATCCTGAACACCTACACAAAATGGGGAGTGTCCAGTCTTAACAGTGACCACTGCACACATGCTGGGTCCATGCACCCTGAACATGCTACTTCACAGCTGGTGGCACACAGGCTTTTGTGTAGCAGGGAAATGACACAACTAAAATCCATCAGGAGATTACCACAGAGGGCAAAAGAAGAAAATTTGACAAAACTGTGGCAGAAAAGAGAACACTGAGTAAGTTCTGCTTGCATCATATGAGGTAAGAGAGAATTAAACTTTGCTAACAGAACAAAATCAAAAGAAAACAGTACACTGGAAACCAGTATCTCTGGGTATCTAGCAGTCAATAAGGCTGGGAAAAAAGAAACATCAGCTCAGTTTTACACAATCCACTGAAAATACCAAAACCAGTTATAAACACTTTTTAATATCCACTACTTTTCAATACCACATGCCATATTCACTTGGCTCAGCCTGTACAAGGTCGGTTATCTCAGACTAGGGATCTGTTATGCCAACAGAGAACAGTTCTTAACCCCCAAGACATGCATTCCCCCCAGACCAACTGCAACCCACACCTTTTACCTGAGGATGTACAGTGTGAAAGACAAATCTCTGTGTCTCACACATTCCTATATGCATTCCAAATGACTTGAGACAAAGCTACAGGAAGGAAACTTGTCTACTGTCTCCAGAAGAAAAGTTCTGCTTTGAATCCCACTGGTACAGTAGATGGGTGAGAAATCACGCGGATACAGAAAAAAAAAAAATCAAAAAGATGACTGTTTCCAAGAGTAACTGCTTACCCAAGGAGTCGTAAAGAAACTGACATTATTGATACCAAGGTCTATGAAAGCTATTCTTTTAACTTACCTGTAAACTGAATATAAAATAGCCACTAACACTTTGTTCTGCAATCACATCCTCCATGGTGCGCAAGGTAGTGCCCAAGTATGAGTTCAGGAGCTGAGTAGGAAGCAGTCCAACTGAGGAAGCCATCAGGTAGTTGGGTAGTGACAAATCTGTAATCTGAGTAAAAGAGAGCATAAGAAATGGAGCATAGTTCTAACACAGTCTATGTGCACAAACAGCCAGACTGCCACTCCCATGCAAAATAATGAAAGGATTTCTTACATTCCTTCACTGAAAGTTTCTACTGCGTGTGAATCAAAACAGTACAGGGCTGGTTTTCATCCAGTCTTTCAAAAGTTCTTACGTTTTATTTTGTTTTACCTTACTGTACACAACATCTCTGTGCAGAAGTCATTAACTAAAGACGTAATTTCACTGTTCATTCAAGATGTTCATTTCTTCATGGTGAACAGAGCCCTACAATTTATGAGAATTTGCCTGCAGGAAGAAATTACTTTATCAAATGTGAAGGACTAAAGCAAAAACCTATTTGCTTTGCACTTTACACGTATGGCAACTGATAAGAGGCAATTGTTTAAAATGTTTTTGTATTAAATATCTAGGTAAACAGAATGGCAGATACAATTGGCCTCTGCAAAGGAAGTTATATATCTCATTCAGATACATGTAACTGTCAGTGATCTCCATCAGTGATATTTATCTGTATCTACCCTGAGATATATGGGTATCATTAAGAATCTCTACCCAAGATGTTTTACATCACACTTTCATTACATAGTACACAGTTACAGCTTTTAATTTATCTGGAAAAAAACACTAACAATACGTCAAAATATTTTCCCCTCTTTGCTGAAATTTCTGTTCTCAGCCAATATGTGGACAGTTTACATGGGAACAAAATACACAGCACTAGCTAAATTAGTATCAGCAGCCATTAGGAAATAGTAAATGAAAGAGCCAAGAGGCCAAAGGATATTTACTCAGGAAAACAGAAACAGGAGAAAACTACAGGTTAAAAATGAGTACAAAAAGGGTGATTCTGAAAGAAGCAGGCTAAGGAATTTTCCAGACAATTCAGTTGATCACATAGGCATAAAACAAGTTCTAATTAAGAACAGCCCCTAACACTGGGAGCCTACACAGAAATTATTGACCTTGAGAGTTCTGTACAATGTCGAAGACAAGAGAATAGCAGCAAAGTTACACATTTCATCATGCTATTCTTAAAATAAGCTTTAGTTACTATGAAAGTCACAGTGCTGAATTCTCAAAGCTCTAAGCAGCATCAGTGGAAAGTTTTTAGGAGGAAGGAAGGGCAATGGAGGAGGCAAATGCACTGAAGCATAAAGATTGATTCACTGGAACAAGATCCAGTAACTCAAATCAAAACTTCATGCTGCAAATTATTCTTCCCACAGACTGAAATATACACCAGCACCACAAATAATACAGTTCCTCTATACACAAGATTAATTTAGGTTTATAATGAAAAAGCTCTACATAACTCATAGAATCATGGAATGTTTAGACCTTAAAGGTCATCTAGTTCCAACCCCTTGCCATGGGCAGGGACACCTTACACTTAGACCAGGTTGCTCAAAGTCCCATCCAACCTGGCCTTTAACGCTGCCAGGGAAGAGGCATCCACAATTTTCTGGGCAACCTGTTACAATGCCTCACCACTCTCACAGTAAAGAATTTCTTCCTCATATCTAATCTAAATCTATCCTCCTTAAGTTTAAAGCCACTACACTTTGTCTTATCCCTGCATGCCCTTGTAAAAAGTCCCTCTTCAATTATGTCAGAACTTCACATTTGACCAATGCTTTGAAACCTTGTTTCCCCCTGAACATAATAGTAATCTGGGCCATGCAGTAAGAATGCACAATGAAAATTTAACATATTGCCAAAGGAATGAAGGAGCTGCTATTAAAAGTCTCTGAAATACTAATGCTGAGGCAAGATTTGCTAAGTAGGGCATTGTCATTACATGTAACGGAGATGAGAAACTTCCCAAAGATTGTTTTAATGCTCCCAGGCACTTCTCTCATTTCTGTACATACATTAAGGACACTTCGGTTGCAGAGCAACACATATGCACACCTGGATTTGTCCTGAAGCAACTGGACCTCCTGAGTCATAAGAGGCTCCAAGCGAGAGGCTGCCAATGAACACACTGAACTGCAACCTGTGCTTCCATTAAAATGAAAGCTAGGGAAAGCAGGGTGGAATCTTGCAGGTGCCCTTTCAACCACTGGTTTGCAAGGCTTAGACCTACAGTGGTATTCCTTCCCCCAGGAGGCACAAGAAGTGGACAGTGTCCCTGCCTAAGAAAGCAGAGAAATCTGCAATTGAACTTACAGCTTTCCATTTCTTTCCTTTTACGAACTTGACCTATTCTACAAACCTGCTAGACTGGGGTCTGTGTGGCCAGACAAACACAGCTTCTGATAAACAGAAGCTACCAGAACTCCATTTCTAGTGAAAGCTCAAGCCAGCAAAAATTAACAGTGAATTCCCAAAGCATGCATGAATATAATTGTGTTATGGGCCTAACTGACGTATTTAAATGAAATTAAGAACTACCTAACTGCTCTGGTAACAAGATTATTAGCCAGAAAATCTCCCAGTAAGCCTTGGACAGGCTTTGTCTGGTAGAATTTCTGTGTAGTCTTTGCAGCTCACAACTTTGGTTCAGTACTATCAAAGAATAAATGCTTGTGTCAGGACTTTGTTGGGGGTTTCACATGCCTTTAGGGACTGCAGTAGATTTCTCTCCACTCAACTTACAGATCTGTGTATTTCAGATCTGGCAGGCCTAGCAACCGAGAGCAAAGGACAGTGTTGATGCTCTTTTATTTCCTCGGGGTGGGGGGTGAGGTTTGAGGTGCTGTGAGAGGGGGGAAGAATAAAACCTGCAATGCCACCAAGTAGTAAATAAAAAACAAGACAAAAAATAGCTATCAACTTTTCAAGAAGCAGAGTAAGCAGCCTGCCTGTTCTTGCAAAGCAGGTACCATTTCTTCACATCTGATTTCACGCTGTGCATTTCTGGAACCGGAGATGCTCACTTGGACACTCTAGATTTCTTTTTAGCCAGATTATTTCATACACATGATACTCCTCTCAAAGAGGAGAAGAAATATAAATGCTGATCTAACCTACACCTGGCACTACAAATAATCAGTTTGCACAAACCTCACTCCAGGGACCTACTAGTAGGAAAGAGGTGATAACCTGCATACCAGGGCTCCTTACAGACCTGCCTTCAAAACACTCAAGAGCTGCCAAGGGAAGACAGCTGTGGGTGGGCAAACACTCCAGTAACAGCTATCAGCCCACCCCAGCAACTGAGGCCAACCTGGCACCACAGGAGCAACAATTAAGCAAAACCCACTCAAAGAGAAATATGAACATGCTTTCAGTTAACAAGTATCTAGGTCTTCATAAAGGCAAGTAAATGCATTACCCCACTGCTCCTACTATCAGCACCTTCCCAAAGAGCAGCAGAATGAACTTAAGAAACAAGACGCTCATGTCTGGCTGGTGAAAGACTAAGGAACCTGTGTTAATTTTCCTCTTGTGCTGTCAGATAATATAATCCCATCACTTGCCAAATGCTAGGAAGCTCTTCCTCCCTACTGTATACTCCCTGGCAATTCAACCTCCTCAATCCCCTCAGCAGGTGGTACACACCACTGAACAAGTGCTTGTGGAAATCCATCAAGTAATCCCAGCCCTGCAGATGACCACTCCCACATCAAGGTTATGTTTTTCCCTGGACTTCATGTGTCACTTCCTCCCTTCCCTCCCATTTAAGCATTCTCAGTATCTCCTGTTTACTTATACACATGCACACAGACCAGACTGCTGGAAAATTAAAGACACATAGGTTTTCTTAAGGCCACTGGTCTCTTCTCCATTATTAAGAGCAATCCTTCTCAAATTCATTGCTAAAGCTGCTAGGACAGGGAATGGATAAATGGTTAGGGCACCCCAAAACCCCTTGCAATTTTAACTTTTCAAATAAATCAGATTTCAAAGAAATTAACAACTTGACCCATGTAGGTAGAATTTTGTATTATATACATAGTTTACACTTGACTAACAGCAAGAAACTGCCCTGAATTCCCAGATTTGCATGCAACATCTTTAATTTTCAGTAATCTAGCAGTTCATATTAAACGTTCTCAGTTAAAATTTAAACACACCGTGCTTTATTTGACTATGCTGTGCAGTAGTAAATCTGGAGTAATAAACATAACCCAAATTAGTTTTAGCAGGCAATATCCAAGTTACTTGGCATATCAAGAATCTGGTTTCATCTCATTTCCTATCTGTTATTTTAACACTGAAACCTTCCCCTTGGAAAGAAAATTATTTAGCTTGCAGTACTGAGAGAATACAAAATGCTGATTTACAGCATCATTTTAATATTGCACTGGCCTGAATACTCTGCTTAATTGTGTTTCCAACCAAATGGTTTGCCATGAAGGAAATCTTTTTAACCCAGTAATTCTCTGGCCAGTTCTCGAGATTCAATACTACTCTACATCTGCTGACTACTTCAAGTGACACCCAGAAGCTGTGAAGAACTGGAGCACATCAGCTCTCCCCACTTTAGGAGGGTCACACTACAGCAGAAGCCTCATCTGCAACACTGGGACCTTGAGCTCTGGCAGGACTCTGCTCCCAGCTGCATGGGTCTAAGCTTCCTCAGTCCTGCAGTAATATAAGAAAATAAATAAAACAGTGGAGTTTCTTCTCAATTACAAGGAAATAGTTAAATGACCTGCTTAAAAAGAAATTATAAATTGCTACAGTTTTCACGGACAGAGACTGCAGCTCTTGAGATGAATGCCTCAGCATACATAGCTTTATACATAGCAACTTTAAATATTTGATGGGGGTGTTAACCCCTAAAAACTGTGCGGATTTTTTCTTAAATAAAAAATTTGGTATTCAGTGATCTATGCATTTCAATCAGATGATTTTGTCAGAATTAAGCAAGCACTTCAGAAGGGTACAGGACCAGGACTGCAGAAGGGGGGAAGGAAAGTGTACTGTAACAAAGTGGCAGACCAAACCACTTTTTTAGAGGGTCTCTTACACTAAAGAACCTATGAGCTCCTGTTAAATGCTTAAAATATTTCACCATCTGGTTTGCTTTCTTTTGATTCCAGAGAGTTAGCAGACACAACTAAGGCGTAACACACAGCCAAAACCAAAACCTTCAAAGGACTCACGAAGAGATGAGGGTCTGAAATTGTCATCATCAGCATGATGGTACTCAAAAAGGGGACCCTCCATACTCTACTTTCTCCTTTAAGATGACCAAAGAGAACAGTAAGATTGTAAGTTTTACATGGCTGCTCTTAAAGAACACACCGTCATTTTAAAGTAGAAAGAAAAGCCAGAATAACCCCCTGTCAAACTCAAAGTTTAAACCAACTTTCAATACCACTGTGGTGTACAGTCTCTTTTCAGCTCTGAGGCTACATCTTCCTGCTTTGCCCAAGATATGCGGCCTCTCTGATGTGCACGGACCTACCACGTCATGGATTTGCCAGATGTATGCTACAAACACCAAGCAGAGGAGGAATTTTGTCAATTTCTTTCTTTCCAATATAATTACTTTTATTAAGTAGTTCAGACAGATCTGACATGACCACTTAAAAATACAAGTTTTCCTCCCACTCCAATCACTTTGATAACACACACACTTAAAAACTGTTGTGTTCTCCACAGATTTTGCTAACCAGCACATTGGTACTTCTTTCCATCATCAGAATGTAGTCTTGAAACATAGACAGCAGCTCTAACACAATGACACCGAACAAGGCACCTTGAAAACCTGACATCCCTCCACAAGCACAGAAGAGCCACTAGCAAAGGCAGGCAAGGGAATATTACTTTTAATGCTGTTAGAAAAGAAAGAAACCAAGGTTTCTTCCCGGGAAAGAGGGCAACTTCCACCACTGACACTGGTCGCTATGGTGCAAGCCATCCTTCCAGCCAGAGCTTTTTCCTTGGCCACACGGGAACTCACCGCGAAGACAGCATTCTGCAGCCCAAAGGGGATCGGGGTCAGCCGTGCCAGAGCCACCACCTTGAGGCCACTGCCGCCCTCCACGACGCGGACGATGGCACTGAGAGTCTCGCTGCCCTGGATCCTGGCCCTCGCCCAGTGGGCCAACAGCCGCTTGCAGGCCACATGGGCGACAAAAGTGCCCACAAGGACGCCGAGCACCATCAGCCCCATCCCCAGCCAGAAGCCATAGAGGTAGCTGGCGGCCACGTTGAGAAGGATGTAGCCCCAGCCGCAGGGGAAGGACACGATGATGAAGCCCACGGTGAAGAGCAGCACACCTGCCAGGCTGTCCAGGCTCTCGGCCCAGAGCACCAGGTCTCGCAGGTACTGGCGCACCAGGGCCAGCGAGGCGAAGCAGAGGGCTGCCAGAACGCACACGCTGAGGCAGCTCTTGCACCAGCAGGTGCCCAGGAGGCAGCAGGAGCAGCGCCAGCCCCGGGCCTCGGCCAGCCCGGACCCGCCGCCGCCCTCCTCGGGCAGCTGGCAGAGCAGCAGCTCCGCCGGCGGCAGCCCGCCCTGCTCCACGTATGGCCGGAGCAGCAGCCCCTCAGCCCCCGCTGCCTCTGCTGGGACGAAGCCGACAGTACCCCCGCCGCCACCTCCTGCCGCCGTCCCAGCGGCTCGGGACAGCCAGCGGCCCAGGTCCTGCCGGGCCCCCTGCGCCGCCGCCTGCTTCACGGCCCGGGAAAGCAGCTGCAGCGCCGCGGTCCCCGCGCCCCACATGCCCCCGCCCCGCCGCCCGGCTCTACCGCGGCGGAGCCGCCCAGCCCCGTCGCTTCCCGCCTCCGCAGGCAGCCAGCGGCCGGGGGCGGATGCTCCCTCATCGCCCCGCCATGGCCCGGCTGCCGGCGGCGGAGCCCAGCCGAGGGCCGGGCGGGGGCGGAGAAGCGGCAGCGGGGCGGGCGGAGAGGTGGGGGCCGCGCTTCGCCGCGCGGGCCCGGCAGGCGGACTGTCCGCGGCGGCCTCCGAGCTGCCTCCCCCCTGAGTTAGACAGCAGCGGCAGCGCCGCGCTCTCCGTCCCGGCAGCGGCGGCCCTGGCGGAGCGCGAGTCCCGGGGGGCGGCAGCGGCGGCAGCAGCAGCGGAGCTCCATCTCCCGGCGCTCTGGTCTCCTGCTCTGCGAAACACGCTCTCGGAGCGGCGATGCCGATGTGGCAGCCCGGGCGCCGCTCGCAGCGGAGGGGGAGGAGGTTCCACTCCGGCGGTAACACAGCCCCGCCCCGCTGCGGGGCTCGGCGGCAGCGCCGTGGCCCGCCTCCCGCTCCGCTCCGCCCCGCGCCGGGTGTGCCTGCGCGGGCCTCTCTCCTCGCACCGAAGGAGCGAGGCTGTGGTGGGTTTGGTGGTCCTCTGTCTTGTTCTCGGTAGCCCTCGTTCAGAGCCGCGGGCAGCAGCGAGGAGAGGGACCGGTCTGGGAAGCCGGAGATTATGTCAGAGGAGGGGGTAGCTGAAGCGCTTCTGAGTAGCTGCTCGCATCGCGGTGGGTTGACCCACCCGACGGCTTAGCTCACATGCCTGGAGGCTCAGACACGCTTTGGGACAGTTTGAGCTTGAATTTTGAGCCATTGCTAGAATGAAACAGCCTGAATACGGGAGATTAGTTCACAGGGGCCCTTTCTCTGAAGCTTCGCCGAGGCTCGGCAGCTTCATAGGTGGCTGTTGCTCTGGCGTTACTAATGACAGAAGCTGTATGGTGCAGAAAGGGTTTTGTTTCTTTCACAACACTTAAACGTACCATGCGTTCCAGTGTAGTTACATTCCTCCACTAGGAAATTTGCATGCATATATAAAACAAGTGTGGGAGCTGTAAAGGTTAAAGAGTGATTGGAAAAAAATGAAGAGCATATCTCGGGTATACTACAGATACATTCACTTGACAAAGACACCATTTAGAAATGATATAACCTGAGTAGTCCAACAAAACAGCCTAAGAAAATAACAGATGTCTTTGAGTACCAGAACAGAATAAAACAATCCTGGGAGACACTGTACAACAGGGACCTGCAGATAAATATCTCCAGCATAATCTGCTTTCTTGCTGTCACTTGTATCCCAGTGTGAGCATTTGATTTTGTGTGTGCTCCTTCCTTACAATGCAAACACAGGGCATACATCCGACAATAATAATATTCTTGTAATAATGCCCCACATTGTGGGTTGTAAAGGGTGGTTGGCATGCTTGTACATTCAGTAAGGCATTTCAGCAAACTGGGGATGGCTGGAAGTTTAGTAGAAAAATGAGACAAAATATTCTGGTTTTATATTAAGAGCGTGTATGTCTTTGATGTGGTTTCAGCTTGTGTGTATTTTTGTTCAGTGCAGTTGCTTTCACCAAATATGAAAAAGCCTGAGTGGAAATGTCTATCAGAGTTCCACACTTTACACTGCCCCTACATTTCTGTATTTAAAGTGTATAACCTTTTTGGAATGAATTGCCTGCTGTTGCTCCTAAAAGCCTCGGGGTTCTGTATTTGTAATCACAAAAAACACACTTGCAAGAGGAACATCATAGTCTATCTAACTGACAGTCCTGAGATTACACTCCAGACTATAAAAACATTTTAACTAGTTAGCTGGTGGACATGCTTTTCTAGTCTCTAAGAGTACGCAGGCTGAAACTTCTTGATCTCATCCATCCCTAAAATATCCCTAGGTTCCCTTAAAAATCTCTAGGTTCCCCTAAAATAGCTAATCCTGGCATTGTACAGATCTCTAGAGCAATAGCTCAGGGAGGAAAAACAACAGGCAGTCAGATTTAGAGTAATACGGAGTAAGAGCTGAAGCATCTTTGGATAAACATCCAAGAGAGGCCACAGGAATTCAGCAGGACTGGGGTGGAGCTGGGAGCCTTTCCCTTACACATAGCAGATACAGCTACAGAGCTGAGAGCAGTGTCAGCTGGCGCCTGTGAGCCTTCCCAATGCGCTCTTACCATCTCAAGGGGAAAAAAAACAACCTCACAACATCCTTGAAAATGTGCCAAATTGGCGCATTGCTGGACAAAATGCTGGACTAAATGGTTCACCTTTCACCCTTATAGTCAGTGATTGATAATATATTCCCGTACTATGTGTGATGCGGTTGCAATAGTTTGATGATATAATCAAGGCAAGATCTGTAAGGAAAAGCATTTATCTTCTCCTAGACCAATCACTACACTTAGAAAAACAGACAAGCTCTTGAGTACATAGCTCCTGGAGAAACATTTTGTGCTCCAAAAGATAGCACTGATTTTTATTTGTTGGCTTTTATTTTTTTTCCTCAGGTAGGTTAGTTGAGTTGATTTAGTGACTAAACTCCAACAAATGTTGTCTAACCTGTTCTGTAAAAAAGCACTTGCTGCCTTGGTTAGCTTCAGAAATTATTTGAAGCAATGGAGATAAAAATTACAGGTCTAGTACATACAGGTTTAAATGGTTATATCAACTAAAACTGCTCCTGAGTTATCTAGTTTCTTATTAAACTCATCTGTCATTTGAACTAATTTCTTACCTCTCTTTATATATAATTTTGGTATTTGCCAATAAACCAATGTAAAACCTGAGAAGCACAGGGTAACAGCCAGAGGACTCTTCTGCTTCAAGAAAAGGCGTTTCTATAGAAAGATGCTCTCATAATAACATAGATTGTTGTGAATATTGAAGAACTTTTGCCATGTGGTGGTTTCTTCCAGGTCTGTGTTGTAGGTCCAGGATATTTCCTTGACCTAGTGTGAGCAAAGCTGAACAACACTATTTTGTGTTTTGAAACACTGCTTCTCCTGTCTCATTTTTTATTTCAAAGAATACTGCATGCGAACACACCCAACTAACTGTGTGGGTCATCTTATTGAAATGAAAGACATGACTCATGTAGGCCCATGCAACTGGTCTGTTAGAAAAAGACTGAAATTTTACGTTAAAATGATTATATAGAACAATGGAAATTACTATATTTGAAAAGTTTTTGAATCAATAGTAGACTTCTGTATATTAAAAAAATGTTGTAACTTTGCCGTGCTAGCCTCAGCAGTAGAAACTAATGTAACAAAAAGAAGGACACAGAATGCCTGGCCTAAGACCTTGTAGTTTAGAACAGGGAAGCTTTGTCTAACTGTGCGTCTTGATAATACAGACGTTCATAATTTTTGTATTGCTTACAAGGAAGCTTTGTCTAGAAATGGAAACCATGTATCTTAAGCAGCAGAAAATTTCATCTGCAATATTGGTAGCTTTGTGAAATCATTGCAACATAAAAGAACAAGCTAAGCGAGGAAGTGAGAACGCTGATATCCACATAATGGTTGGGGCCTGTCCAAAGAACAGAAAGGTGAAAAGAATAAGGGGAGGAAGACTCCTTACTTCATCTGAGGAAGACTCCTTACTTCATCAGCACGACCACCAGAGGGGGCTGCGCAAGCGCAGAAGAGGCTGATGTCGTAATGGACTAATAAAGTAATCCTTGATGCATATGTATTAGTTATGAAATTTTAGTGTATAAATTGCGAACGCGATGTGACGAGGTCGAAGCCAGATTTGGGCACGTGCCCCTGGTTTCCCAGCGCTGCAATAAAGCACCTCATATAACCATTCCGGTGGTTATGTGTCAGTTCTTACGCTAACAGGTCCACACTCCAGGGGTCCTGAAGCAAGAGAGTAGGATACATTGGACCTGTTGGATCAAGTCCAGAGGAGGGCCATGGGAATGATCAGAGGGCTGTAGCACCTCTCCTATGAATACAGGCTAGAGAGTTGGACTCAGCCTGGACAAGACAAGGCTCTGTGGAGTTCTTAGAGCAGTCTTCCACTACCTGTAGGAGGTCTACAAGGAAGATGGAGAGGGACTTTTTACAAGGGCATGTAGGGATAGGTCAGAGTGTAATGGCTTTAGTCTTAAGGAGGATAGATTTAGATAAGATGTAAGAAATTCTTTACTGTGAGGGTGGTGAGGCACTGGCACAGGTTGCCCAGAGAAGTTATGGATGCCTCATCCCTGGAAGTGTTGAAGGCCAGGTTGTACAGGGCATTGAGCAACCTGGTCTAGTTAAAGGTCTCCCTGCCTACAGCAGGACAGGCTGGAACTAGATGACCTTTAAGGTTTCTTCAACCCAAACCTTGCAGTAATTCTGTGATTAAGCCACAAATCAGGAGCCAAAATATTCTGCAACGTTCTGTAAACCTCCCTTACTCATTTCTGAATTGCTCTTTGAGAGGAAGAAGCAGGACTTTTTCGAGAAGATGATGTTAAAGGCTGTAACTCCAACGTATTTCTAGATGCTTGTGCTGTTTAATTCTGTCAGCATTAATGTGAAGGTCCTTTGGTGGGAACTGCAACATTGACTGATTTTGTCAGGAGTAACCATTCTTTGGCCACAGCAGGCTGTCACTAGAAGTACTTTCATCTTATCTGCAGCAGTACTCCTTGTCATACATTCCTTTACATCCACATGAAGGAAGGTAAATACACTTTGTTCATGCAGGAAGTATACTTTTTGCTGTTTAACACAGAATGAGTTGCAAGCATTTGGGGGAAGATATTAGCAAGGAGCAAGCCATGACCAGAGAAATTACTCTGGTAGATCATAATAATGGCTGGAGAAATTACTCTGGTAGTGGTGCCAGGGCCTGAGCACCATGATTTGGGTAGTTATTTTAAACATGTGTTAATTCACAGTTTAATCAAAGTGAATGAGAAGTATGCTGAAGGAAAATAATCTATCAGGTAGCTTTATATGAGACTGGTTAAATTCCCAGTGAAAGGTGATAGTTCTGAATTTGCTGTTTCAGAAACAGGAGGTGTAAGAAATGGCACTACTAGCAATTTAGGATTGCTTCAGTGTTTTAATTTTTTGGACAAATATTAAT